CAACTCTCATATAAGAGCGTCCATTCCCCTATAAGAGCGTCAACTCCCCTATAAGAGCGTCAACTCCCCTATAAAAGCGTCGACTCCCCTATAAGAGCGTCAATTCCCCTATAAGAGCGTCAACTCCCATATAAGAGCGTCAACTCCCCTATAAGAGCGTCAACTCCCCTACAAAAATGTCAACTCTCCTATAAGAGCGTCAACTATCATATATGTGTGTCAACTGTCCAATAAGAGCGTCAACTCTCCTATAAGAGCGTCAACTCTCCTATAAGTGCGTCAACTCCCATATAAAAGCGTCAACTCCCCTATAATAGCGTCAACTCCTCTATGAGAGCATCAACTCCCCTATAAGAGCGTCAACTCCCCTATAAGAGCGTCAATTTTCTATAAGAGCGTCAACTCACCTATAAGAGCGTCAACTCCCCTAGAAGTGCGTCAACTTCCCCATAAAAGCATCAACTCTCCTATAAGAGCGTCAACTCTCACATATGTGCGTCAACTCCCCTATAAGAGCGTCAACACTCATATAAGAGCGTCAACTCCCCTATAAGAGCATCAACTCTGATATAAGAGCGTCAACCCATCTATAAGAGCGTCAACTCCCCTATAAGAGCGTCAATTCCCCTATAAGAGCGTCAACTCCCCTATAAGAGCGTCAACTCCCCTATAAGAGCGTCGACTCTCCTAAAAGAGCGTAAACTCCCCTATAAGAGCGTCAACTCCCCTATAAAAGCGTCAACTCTCCTATAAGAGCGTCTCCTCCCCTAAAAGAGCGTCAACTCTCCCATAAAAGCGTCAACTCCCTTATAAGAGCGTCAACTCTCATATAAGAGCATCAACTCTCATATAAGTGCGTCAACTCCCCCATAAAAGCGTCAACTCTCATATAAGAGCGTCAACCCACCTATAAGAGCGTCAACTCCCCTATAAGAGCGTCAACTCCCATAAAAGAGCGTCAACACCCATATAAGAGCGTCAACTCCCCAATAAAAGCGTCAACTCTCCTATAAGAGCGGCAAATCTCATATAACTGCGTCAACTCTCCCATAAAAGCGTCAACTCTCCTATAAGAGCGTCAATTCTCATATAAGTGCGTCAACTCTCGTATAAAAGCGTCAACTCCCGTATAAAAGCGCCAATTCTCCTATATGAGTGTCAACTTCCCTATAAGAGCATCAACTCCCCTATAAGAGCGTCAACTCCTCTATGAGAGCGTCAACTCCCCTATAAAAGCGTCAACTCCCCTATAAAAGCGTCAACTCTCCTATACGAGCGTCAACTCTCCTATCAGAGTGTCAACTCTCATAGAAGTGCGTCAACTCCCCCATAAAAGCATCAACTCTCATATAAGAGCGTCAACCCCCCTATAAGAGCGTCAACCCCCCTATAAGAGCGTCAACTCCCCTATAAGAGCGTCAGCTCCCCAATAAAAGCGTCAACTCTCCTATAAGAGCGTCAACTCTCATATCAGTGCGTCAACTCCCCCAGAAAAGCGTCAAATCTCCTATAAGAGCCTCAACTCTCAAATAAGAGCGTCAATTACCCTGTAAAAGCGTAAACTCTCCTATACGAGCGTCAACTCTCCTATCAGAGCATCAACTCTCATAGAAGTGCGTCAACTCCCCTATAAAAGCATCAACTCTCATATAAGAGCGTCAACTCCCCTATAAGAGCGTCAACCCCCCTATAAGAGCGTCAACTCCCCTATTAGAGCGTCAACTCCCATATAAGAGCGTCAACTCCTCTATAAGATCGTCAACTCCCCTATAAGAGAGTCAACTACCCTATAAAAGCGTCACCTCCCCTACTAAAGCGTCAACTCTCCTATAAGAGCGTCAACACTCCTATAAGAGCGTCAACTCCCCCATAAAAGCGTCAACTCTCATATAAGAGCGTCAACTCCCCTATAAGCGTCAACTCCCCTATAAGAGCGTTTATTCCCCTATAAGAGCGTCAACTCCCCTATAAGAGCGTCAACTCCCTTATAAGAGCGTTAGCTCCCCTATAAAAGCGTCAACTCCCCTATAAGACCATTTTCTATACCCACAACAAGTGTTTTCATTTCGTTCCATGTGGTTCTCAAAGTTTAAGCTTTTGAACTCTGCCTGGTACGCCCATTATAGGTGCGCATACTGACCAGACTACCCAACGCATCACTTTGACTGGTCCACTGAATTGGATGCCTCTTCTTTTGTGCTTGTCCACTAGACTAGACCATTTTCCACGCTCACAACAAGTGTTTCCATTTTGTTCCATGTGGTTCTCAAAGTTTGAGCGCCTTAACTCTGCCTGGTACGCCCATTATAGGTGCGCATACTGACCAGACTGCCCAACGCATCACTTTGACTGGTCCACTGAATTGGATGCCTCTTCTTTTGTGCTAGTCCACTAGATTAAACCATTTTCCACATCCACCACAAGTGCTTCCATGTCGTTCCATATGGTTCTCCAAGTTTGTACGCCTGAACTCTGCCGGGTACGCCCATTATAGGTGCGCATACTGACCAGACTGCCCAACGCATCACTTTGACTGGTCCACTGAATTCGATGCCTCTTCTTTTGTGCTAGTCAACTAGATTAGACCATTTTCCACATCCACCACAAGTGTTTCCATTTCGTTCCATGTGGTTCTCGAAGTTTGAGCGCCAGAACTCTCCCTGGTACGCCCATTATAGGTGCGCATACTGACCAGACTGCCCAACGCATCACTTTGACTGGTCCACTGAACTGGATGCCTCTTTTTTGGTGCTAGTCCACTAGATTAGACCATTTTTCACATCCACCACAAGTGTTTGCATTTCGTTCCATGTGGTTCTCGAAGTTTGAGCGCCGGAACTCTGCCCGGTAGGCCCATTATAGGTGCGCATACTGACTAGACTACCCAACGCATCACTTTGACTGGTCCACTGAATTGGATGCCTCTTCTTTTGTGCTAGTCCACTAGATTAGACCACTTTCCACATCCACAACAAGTGTTTCCATTTCGTTCCATTTGGTTCTCGAAAATTGAGATCCTGAACCCTGCCCGGTACGCCCATTATAGGTGCGCATACTGACCAGACTACCCAACGCATCACTTTGACTGGTCCACTGAATTGGATGCCTCTTCTTTTATGCTAGTTTACTAGATTAGACTATTTTCGACATCCACAACAAGTGTATCCATTTCGTTCCATGTGGTTCTCGAAATTTGAGCTCCGGAACTCTGCCCGATACGCCCATTATAGGTGCGCATACTGACCAGACTACCTAACGCATCACTTTGACTGGTCCACTGAATTGGATGCCTCTTCTTTTGTGCTAGTCCACTAGATTAGACCATTTCCACATCCACAAGAAGTGTTTCCATTCCGTTCCATGTGGTTCTCGAATTTGAGCTCCCGAACTCTGCCTGGTACGCCATTTGTAGGTGAGCATACTGACCAGATTACCCAACGCATCACTTTGACTGGTCCACTGAATTGGATGCCTCTTGTTTTGTACTAGTCCACTAGATTAGACAACTTTCCACATCCACAACAAGTGTTTCCATTTCGTTCCATGTGGTTCTCAAAATTTGAGCTCCTGAACTCTGCCTGGTACGCCCATTATATGTGAGCATATTGACCAGATTTCCCAACGCGTCACGTTGACTGATCCACTGAATTGGATGCCTCTTCTTTTGTGCTAGTCCACTAGATTAGACTATTTTACACATCCACAAGAAGTGTTTCAATTTCGTTCCATGTGGTTCTCAAAATTTGAGCGCCTGAACTCTGCGTGGTACGCCCATTATAGGTGCGCATACTGACCAGACTACCAACCGCATCACTTGGACTGGTCCACTAAATTGGATGCCTCTTCTTTTGTGTAAGTCCACTAGATTATAATATTTTCCACATCCACAACAAGTGTTTCCACTTCGTTCCATGTGGTTCTCAAAATTTGAGCTCCTGAACTCTGCCTGGTACGCCCATTATATGCGAGCATATTGACCAGATTACCCAACGCGTCACGTTGACTGATCCACTGAATTGGATGCCTCTTCTTTTGTGCTAGTCCACTAGATTAGACTATTTTACACATCCACAACAAGTGTTTCCATTTCGTTCCATGTGGTTCTCAAAATTTGAGCGCCTGAACTCTGCGTGGTACGCCCATTATAGGTGCGCATACTGACCAGACTACCCAACGCATCACTTTCACTGGTCCACTGAATCGGATGCCTCTTGTTTTGTGCTGGTCCACTAGATTAGACTAGTTTCCACATCCTCAACAAGTGTTTCCATTTCGTTCCATGTGGTTCTCAAAATTTGAGCGCCTGAACTCTGCCTGGTACGCCCATTATAGGTGCTCATACTGACCAGATAACCGACGGCATCACTTTGACTAGTCCACTGACTTGGATTCCTCTTCTTTTGTTCTGGTCCACTAGATTAGACTATTTTCCACATCCACAACATGTTTTTCATTTCTGTTCCATGCGGTTCTCAAATGTTGAGCTCCTGAACTCTGCCTGGTACGCCCATTATAGGTGCGCGTACTGACCAAACAGTCGACCGCATGACTTTGACTGGTCCAATGAATTGGATGCCTCTTCTTTTGGGATACTCCACTAAATTATATTATTTTCCACATCCACAACAAGTGTTTCCATTTTGTTCATGTGGTTCTCAGAATTTGAGCGCCTGAACTCTGCGTGGTACGCCCATTATAGGTGCGCATAGTGACCAGACTACCCAACGCATCACTTTGACTGGTCCACTGGATTGGATGTCTCTTCTTTTGTGCTATTCCACTAAATTAGACTGATTTCCACATCCACAATAATTTTTTCCATTTCGTTCCATGTGGTTCTCAAAATTTGAGCGCCTGAACCCATTATAGGTGCGCATACAGACCAGACTATCCAACGCATCACTTTGACTGGTCCACTGAATTTGATGCCTCTTCTTTTGTGCTAGTCCACTAGATTAGACTGATTTCCTCATCGACAACAAATTTTTCCATTTCATTCCATGTGGTTCTCAAATTTTGAGCTCCTCAACTCTGCCCGGTACGCCCATTATAGGTGCGCATACTGACCAGACTACCCAACGCATCACTTTCACTGGTCCACTGAATTGGATGCCTCTTCTTTTATGCTCTTCTTTTACGCGTGTGGTCGTCCACGATGGTCAAGAAGTAGCGGCTGCCCGAGAGTGAAGTGGCCCTCGTGGGGCCCACCACATCCATGTGCACAAAGGCAAGCGGTTCCTTGGCTGGTCCCGTGCTGCTGCTGAAGGGAAACTTCGTGAATTTTGTCTCAAGGCATGTAGGGCAGCTCCCAACCTCCTTTGCTGCCCCCTTCACCTCCAATCCCTTCAAGCTCCCATCCTTAGCCAACTTCTGCAGCATCGGTATGTTGATGTGGCACAATCTCTCGTGCCACGTCTCCCAATCGGCCTCACCACTCCCAGATGAAGCCTTTGCCCATGCAGCTGTTGCATCCACACCAGCAAGCACCTCACCATGTGGTTGCTGTGGCTGCTGCACTATCTTGACTGCATCCAGGACCCCAGCAGTTGGTGCAGTCTCCTCTCCTCCCGCAGTTGCTTTAGCCGCTGCCGCTGCCTTTGCCGTTGCTGGTGGTTTCCCATTCCAAGGGATGATGGGCAGCTGCCACAGGTCCTTGATGCAGCTGCTCTTCTCCTCCAAATCCCACAGCAGCAACTTCCCAAGCTTCGCACGGTTGCTCGTTGGGCCGAACGTAACTTTTGCCTTGCTTTTCTGCAGTCGGCGCACAGAAAGAAGGTTAGCGGATAAACCTTCAACCAACAGCACATTCCCAAGCCCCACAAGCTTCCCACTGGCTCCCATCACCTTGGCATTCCCAACACCAATCACAGGGAGCAAAGCACCTGAGGCGGCAGCCACAAACTTGATCTTCCCAGGGGGCTTTACCTTATCAAGCAAACCTGCCCGCGGAGTCATGTGACTCGTGCAACCAGAATCGATCACCCAGTGAGTGAGGGGGTGCATCACAACCTTCCCAACCAAACCCACATCATCCTCACTCTCTTTCACATCCTTAACCATGACGAACATCCCAGGGTCGGCTTTACCTTGTGCAACATCACCTTGTGCACCTGAACCTTGCACAGCGCCACCTCGTGCACGTTCACCACTTGGCGGCTTCATGCCTGGGGGTGCCCAACCCTCAGGCCGGCTGGAACACTTGAACCACGGGTGTCCAGCCTTCTTGCAGTACCAGCACGCACCCTCCATTCGGGTGCTCCCCCTGCCACCAGAGCTTCCATGCCCCTCGTTGTAGTCACCTCGGCCTCTCCCTCTGCCAAAGCCTCTCCCACGGCCTCAACCTCTCCCTCCCCCTCTTCCTCTGCTGCCTCCTGCAGCGCCATACCCTTCAGCAGTTTTGTTGGCAGCACCGCCTCCCGTGTGGCGCCTGCGGAAGTTCTCATGCAGGATCTGCTTTCGTAGCCATTCAGGCGTCAATTTGTCCTGCTGAACGTTGAGGGTGGGAATGAGGTTGTCCCATGAGTTGTCGAGCACCGAGATGATCTTGGTGCACTGCTGCATCTCCGACACCTTGCTGCCCGCCGCTGCCATACTCGTATAAGTGTCCTTGATCTTGTCAAGGACCGGCTTCACATCGTCTCCCGGTCGCATGGAGAGGGCAGCCAACTCCTTCTCCAACACAATCACCATAGGCAGCGTGTTGGGCCGAACCACGTCGCGTAGCAATTTCCACGCCTTCGGCCCCGAGTCGTCCAGCTCCACCAAATCCTTGATATGCTGTAACATGTCATTGTTCAACTCCCCCATAAAAGCGTCAACTCTCCTATAAGAGCGTCAACTCTCCTATAAGAGCGTCAAATCTCATATAAGAGCGTCAACTCCCCCATAAAAGCGTCAACTCTCCTATAAGAGCGTCAACTCTCTTATAAGAGCATCATCTCTCATATAAGAGCACCAACTCCCCTATAAGAGCGTTAACTGTCAGACTTATATGCTATAGTCTGTGTAGGCTGTAGTGGGGTAGACAATATGGGGTACAACACTTTTAGGTCATCCTACTTGTACGCACCTGTTTCCTAGTGCATTCATTACCTTGTTCTTTCACATGGTATCAGAGCATGTTCCCTAGTGGGAACGTTTCCTAGGGCCCACCGAAAATTCGAAAGTTTTTTTTTTTTCCTGCCCGGAGCGCACTTCACCCCTGCCCGAGTCGCGCCCCGCGTCCCCCGCCCTTAGTGGCCCCTTAGCCGCTCCCTCGCGGCCCCTCTCACGGCCCCTCGCGGCCCCTTAGCCGCTCCCTCGCGGCCCCACTCACGGCCCCTCGCGGCCCCTCTATCACGGCCCCTCGCGGCCCCTTAGCCGCTCCCTCGCGGCCCCTCTCACGGCCCCTCGCGGCCCCTTAGCCGCCCCTTCCGCGGCCGTTCGCGGCCCCTCGCGGCCCCTCTCACGGCCCCTCGCGGCCCCTTAGCCGCTCCCTCGCAGCCCCCCCTCTCACGGCCCCTCGCGGCCCCTCTCACGGCCCCTCGCGGCCCCTTAGCCGCCCCCTCCGCGGCCGTTCGCGGCCCCTCGCGGCCCCTCTCGCGGCCCCTCTTCGGTCGTTCGCGGCCCCTCGCGGCCCCTCTCGCGGCCCCCCCCTCGCGGACCCTCGTGGCTCGTCGCGCGGCCCCTCCGCGGCCGTTCGCGGCCACTCTCCCGGCCCCTCGCGGCCCCTCGTGGCTAGCCGCGGCTCGTCGCGGCCCCTCCGCGGCCCCTCTCCAAGCCCCTCGTGGCCCCGTCGCGGCTCCCTCGCGGCCCCGTTGCGGCTCCCGCGTCGCCCCTGCCCACCGCGGCGCCCTGCCCTAACCTGCGCCCTGCAGCAGCCGCCCCCTGGAGCAACAGCCACTGCAGCAGCCGCCCCTGGAGCAGCCGCCACTGCAGCAGCCGCCCCTGGAGCAGCCGCCACCTGCAGCAGCCGCCCCTGGAGCAGCCGCCACTGCAGCAGCCGCCCCTGGAGCAGCCGCCACTGCAGCAGCCGCCCCTGGAGCAGCCGCCACTGCAGCAGCCGCCCCTGGAGCAGCCGCCACTGCAGCAGCCGCCCCTGGAGCAGCCGCCACTGCAGCAGCCGCCCCTAGAGCAGCCGCCCCTGCTGCAGCCGCCCCTGGAGCAGCCGCCACTGCAGCAGCCGCCCCTGGAGCAGCCGCCACTGCAGCAGCCGCCCCTGGAGCAGCCACCCCTGCAGCAGCCGCCCCTGGAGCAGCCGCCACTGCAGCAGCCGCCCCTGGAGCAGCCCCCACTGCAGCAGCCGCCCCTGGAGCAGCCGCCACTGCAGCAGCCGCCCCTGGAGCAGCCGCCCCTGCAGCAGCCGCCCCTGGAGCAGCCGCCACTGCAGCAGCCGCCCCTGGAGCAGCCGCCACTGCAGCAGCCGCCCCTGGAGCAGCCGCCCCTGCAGGAGCCGCCCCTGGAGCAGCCGCCCCTGCAGCAGCCGCGGAGCCCTCGCCCTGCAGTGGTAGCGGCCTCGCCGTTGCCGCCGTCGTACGCCTGCCCTTCTCGCCACTGGTGAGCACTGCCCTGCCCGTACTGCTGTTACTGCTGCTCTTGCTGCTACTGCTCTTTCTACTGCTACTGCTGCTTCTGGCCCGGCCAGATGCAGCTCCAGCGCCGTCCACGTGAGTCCCTCACCCCCCAACAGCTTCGTGAGTGGTACGCTAGTTGGGGTTGTAGGGGTGGCCGCGCTACGACTACTGCTACTGCTTCTACTGCTGCTACTGTGGCTACCACTGCTCCTCCTGCTCCTGGCGGTGGCCAGATGCAGCTCCAGCGACGTCCGCGTGAGTCCCTCACGCCCCAGCAGCTTCGTGAGTGGTACGCTACTTGGGGTTGTCGGGGTGGCCGTAGTGGGAGTCGTTCTCGCGTGAGGAGTTCGGGAGCTACTTGTAGTGGCCAGGTGCAGCTGCAGCGTAGTCCGCCCGCGGTCCTTTCGCCCCAGCAGCTTCGTGAGTGGTACGCTCAGCGTGGAGGTTCACGGAGTTCTGCCCGCTGTCCGTACGTCATTCGCACTGGTGCTCGGACTGGTCAGCCCTGCGGGACGCTTGGTCACGCCGAGTCCCGCTGCTTCGCCCGTCTGAGCGACGTCTGGCGTACGGAGTTTGGCAACGCCGCTGAGCTCCCCGACTGGGTGGAGCTGCTTAGGCAGAGGGTAGATATCTATGCTCTTGACTATGATGCTATCCTCACTGCCATGTATGCATTGCCTACTAGTGATGTGGGTGACTGTTACCTGTGTGTTCCGCCTGACCCGGGCATTGAGGCTGCTGCTCTAGGTGCTGGTGAGGCTGCTGCTCTAGGTGCTAGTGCGTCTGCTCCTCCAGGTGCTGGTGAGTCTGCTGCCCCAGGTGCTGGTGAGTCTGCTCTCTCAGGTACCACGTCGTCTCAGGTGTTACGCACCTTCACCCTTGACTCGGGTGCTTCCCGCTCCTTCTTTCGAGACCGCACCACACTCACGCCGCTTAGTCGGCCGGTTGCAGTCTCCCTGGCAGACCCCTCTGGGGGTCCCGTCCTTGCCCACTTCTCCACTGTCTTACCGTGTCCGGCGGCCCCTTCTGGCTCTCTGTCGGGTCTTTACCTCCCCTCATTCTCTACGAACTTGGTGAGTGGTGCTGACCTACAGGACGCAGGGGTTGACCAGTTCACCCCTGCACGTCAGCGAGTGACCCACTGTACGTGTGCTAGGACGGGCCGACACTTGGCCACGTTTACCCGTCAGCCGGGGTCGAGCCTGTACACGCTGACTGCTGAGTCTCCTCAGGTAGCTGCGTCGAGTCAGGTCTTTGCTGCAGCGTCCAGGTCTGGCCCTGAGTCTGCCCCCTGCTCGTGTCGTCTCCTGTCTCACCAGACTCTCCTCTGGCACCACCGCCTTGGTCACCCCTCCCTGCCTCGTCTCCGAGGCATGGCCTCTCGTTTCCTTGTCTCGGGTCTCCCCCGGTCCCTCCCTTCTCTTCCTCCGGGGCCTGGCCCCACCTGCGTTCCCTGCGTCGAGGGGCGGCAGCGCGCCGCTCCTCACTCCTCCGAGTTTCCTCCGACAGAGGCTCCGCTGCAGACGCTTCACATGGACGTGTGGGGCCCAGCCCGCGTCCGTGGACAGGGTCACGAGCGTTACTTCCTGCCGGTGGTTGACGATTACTCGCGTTTCACCGCAGTCTTCCCTTTGCGCAGCAAGGGTGATGTCACTGAGGTGTTGATCGACTGGATCCGCGCAGCTCGTCTCCAGCTCAGAGAGAGTTTCGGCTCGGACTTTCCTGTCTTGCGTCTGCACTCCGACAGAGGCGGTGAGTTTTCCTCTGACCTTCTGCGAGCCTTCTGTCGTGCACAGGGCATCCGCCAGACGTTCACGCTTCCGGCCTCTCCACAGCAAAATGGGATTGCTGAGCGCCGCATTGGCATGGTTATGGACGTCGCTCGCACGTCCATGATCCATGCGGCTGCTCCCCATTTTATGTGGCCGTTCGCGGTTCAGTACGCGGCGCATCAGATCAACCTTCAGCCCCGGGTCTCCTTGCCGGAGACCTCCCCTACTCTGAGGTGGACGGGGAAGGTTGGCGATGCGTCTGCGTTTCGTGTCTGGGGATCTCGGGCTTTTGTCCGCGACTTGTCTGCGGACAAGCTGTCCCCCCGTGCTGTTCCCTGCGTCTTCCTTGGCTTCCCCCCCGACACGCCTGGTTGGCAGTTTTACCACCCCACCTCGCGCCGTGTTCTGTCGTCCCAGAACGTCACCTTTGACGAGTCGGTCCCCTTCTACCGGCTCTTCCCCTACCGCACTGCCCCGCTCCCCCCTCCGCCGCTCTTCCTCACGCCAGGTGCTGCCTTGGTAGACCCCTTGCCTCCCCAGGTCCCTGCTCCCTCAGGTGTTTACCAGGTAGACCCGGTTGAGCCTGTCGAGGTAGCTGTCGACTCTGGTCCTGCGCGAGGTACTGAGCGTGCTGAGCCTGGGGGTGCGGAGACTGGGGGTGCTGAGCCTGGGGGTGCGGAGACTGGGGGTGCTGAGCCTGGGGGTGCTGTCCCTGGGGGTGCGGGTTCTGGAGGTCCTGAGCCTGGGGGTGCTGTCCCTGGGGGTGCGGGTTCTGGAGGTCCTGAGCCTGGGGGTGCTGCGCCTAGGGGGGCTCTCTCTTCCCAGCAGCTACGTGACTGGTACTCTCGGTACTGTCGCGGCCTCCGGGGTGCTGCTGGAGCTGCCGGCGTTCGTCCTGCTGGAGGTGCTGCTGGTGCTGCTGGAGGTACTGGAGCTGCTGGTGGTGCTGTGGGTACAGGAGCTGCTGGGCCTGGAGGTGCTCCTGGCACTGGAGCTGCTGGCGGTGCTGGAGCTGGCGGTCCTGCTGGTGTTGGCACTGGAGGTGCTGCTGGCGCTGGTGCTTCTGAGGGTGCTGGAGTTGGCGCTGCTGGAGCTGGAGGTGCTGCGGGCGCTGGTGCTGCCGCTGGGGGTCCTAGCGCTGTCCGTGCTGTTTCTGGAGTCGCTGCGCGGCCGCGGCCGTACTTCGTTCCGCTCCTTGAGCAGGTTCTTGGTCTCCCGCTTTCTACTGGTCCTCCTCCTCCCTTAGAGTGTCCACAGCCTGACCAGTTGCAGTCACAGTTACAGCCCGCCTCCCCACTGCCTGCTCCTTCTCCCTACACTGGTCCTACTGGAGGTCTTGCTGAGCGTCGTGCGCCTGCGTCTCGTTCTGCGTCGCCTGTTCGTACTGCTCGCACTAGTCGTCGTGTTCCGCGTCATCGTCCTCCTGCGGTCCCGGGCACGCACCAGATGGCACTGCGTCCTTCCACTGCTCCGCAGCGTGTCCCTTTGCCGTCTCCTCCTGAGTCCTCTCTTCCTGCTCTTGCTGACCCAGAGTCGGACTCTCTTCGTGCTGCCAGTCCTACTGTCACGCGTCTCCTGGCTACTGTTGTCACTGACCCTTCCTTTGAGTCCACTGCTGCGTCTGCCTTAGTTGCTGAGCTTGTCGACTTCGCTGCTCACTGTCGTCTAGACTACGCTGCTAGTCTTGTTGCTGAGTCTGAGTCTGTCTGTCCTCCGTCCGTCGGGGGTGAGTGTGCTCTTAGCACGGACGTCCTTGAGGACAGGCAGGAGGAGTTCCAGTGTTTTGCTGCTGCTTTGCCTCATCTCGTGTCCATGCTGATTGCCCCTGAGGGAGACCCGGATGCACTAGACATCCCGACTCCTCGATCGTACGCTGAGGCGATCGAGGGTCCCTACTCCTCACAGTGGCAGTCAGCCATGGACGCAGAGATGGCTTCCTGGAAGTCCACAGGCACCTACGTCGACGAGGTTCCCCCACCTGGGGCGAACATCGTCAGTGGCATGTGGATTTTCAGGGTGAAGCGGCCGCCGGGTTCTCCGCCTGTCTTCAAGGCGCGTTACGTGGCTCGAGGCTTCAGTCAGCGGCAGGGAGTTGACTACTTTCAGACCTTCTCTCCCACCCCGAAGATGACCACTCTTCGGGTGCTGCTGCACGAAGCCGCTCAGCGCGACTACGAGCTTCACTCTCTTGACTTCAGCACAGCTTTCTTGCAGGGCAGCCTGCACGAGGAGATCTGGCTGCGCCGCCCACCTGGCTTCACTGGGTCGTTCCCCCCTGGTACCCAGTGGAGCCTCCGGCGGCCAGTCTACGGTCTCCGCCAGGCGCCCCGTGAGTGGCACGACACACTGAGGACTACACTTGCGGCTCTTGGGTTTGCTCCTTCTACTGCCGACCCGTCGCTGTTTCTACGCACCGACACCTCTTTGCCGCCGTTCTACATCCTCGTGTACGTCGACGACTTGGTCTTTGCCACTGCTGACACTGCTGGACTCGCCCACGTGAAGTCCGAGCTGCAGAAGAGACACACGTGCACTGACTTGGGTGAACTGCGCAGCTACCTTGGCTTGCAGATCACCCGGGACAGAGCACAGCGCACCATTACCCTGACTCAGTCACACATGGTGCAGCAGGTCCTTCAGCGCTTCGACTTCACGTACTACTCGCCTCAGGCCACTCCTCTGTCTACCCGCCACTCGCTCTCAGCTCTGCCTTCGGATGAGTCCGTAGAGCCGAGTGGCCCGTACCCAGAGCTTGTTGGCTGCCTCATGTACCTGATGACCTGCACTCGACCTGACCTTGCATACCCTCTTAGCATCTTGGCACGCTATGTTGCTCCTGGGAGACACCGACCAGAGCACATGGCTGCAGCAAAGAGGGTGTTGCGCTACTTGTGCAGTACGTCGGGCATGGGGCTAGTGCTTGGAGGGCGGCGTTCAGTGGTCCTCACAGGTCACGCAGACGCTTCTTGGGCTGACGACCAGGCTACGCAGCGGTCGTCACAGGGTTACACCTTCAGCCTTGGCTCTGGCTCTGTTTCGTGGCGGTCTACCCGCTCGTCTTCTGTTCTCGGCTCCAGCTGTGAGGCTGAGATCTACGCGGGGGCCATGGCTGCACAGGAGCTACGCTGGCTCACCTACCTGCTGACTGACCTAGGAGAGCTGCCTCGTTCTCCTCCAGTTCTGTACGTAGACAACAAGGCCATGTTGGCCTTGTGTCGGGAGCACAGACTGGAGCACAGAACGAAGCACATTGCTCTTCGCTACTTCCTTGCTCGTGAGCAGCAGCGTGGTCAGCTACGCCTTGCTTACGTGGCCTCTCAGGCCAACACTGCTGATATCTTTACCAAGGCTCTTCAGCCTTGTGATCATCAGCGCTTTTGTACGATGCTAGGTCTTGTGCCTACCTGACCTCACTTGCTTACTTCTTGACCTTGCTTGTACTGTGTTCTACATATACCTGCACTTGCTTGTTTACCTTTATATATATGATCCTGCATGTGAACTGGCCTTGTGACCTTGAACCTGTGCTCGGAATGTGTGGTGACGTTGTGATCCACCCTGAGCTTGCTTTGCTTTGCTTGACTGGTCTTGTGACCCCTTGTTCTCCCCCACTTTGCCTATGGGGGTGTGTCAGACTTATATGCTATAGTCTGTGTAGGCTGTAGTGGGGTAGACAATATGGGGTACAACACTTTTAGGTCATCCTACTTGTACCCACCTGTTCCCTAGTGCATTCATTACCTTGTTCTTTCACATTAACTCCCCTATAATGTTGGTGCAACCCTACGGTTTGCACTCGGCTTGTTGTCCGTGTGTGTGCATGCGAGTGTGCATGGAATGGAATGAGTGCATGAAATAAATATATATTTCATGCTTATAATGGTGTGTGAATGATGGGTCATAATGTCGTGTGTGA